CTAGCAGCACAAACAAGTGCTTGATCACTTAGTGTCCTCACTTGTCTTTTAGTTTATCTTTGCCATTTCTTGTGCTTTTATTTTTTGAAAAACAAAACATGTAAACTAGAACCTTCATATAAAATTGTTGATTGTGGAGTAGCATTATTTAAAATAGTTATTCCATTTTAGACTCTAATTAGAGCCCTTTAGCCACTGAATATCATCTTAATACTGATCTCAGAATGTAAAGTACTGTTTCCTATTATCAGAGGTGTTGAGGATAGTATTATGTTGAGCTTGTAATGAATCTGGCATTATTTCATCCAGTCTAAACACGTCATTAACTATCTTTTTTTCCTTCACAGGCCACCTCCACCACAACCGAAAGTATCATCTCAGGGAAACTTAATTCCTGCCCGTCCTGCTCCTGCACCTCCTTTATATAGTTCCCTCACTTGATTTTTTAATCTTCTTTTTGCAAATGTCTTCAGGGAACTGAGCTAATACTTTTTTTTTCTTGTTTTCTTGAAAAGCCTTTCTTCCTGTTGCAACTATGAATGAAAACAAAATATCACAAAACAGACTTTACTAACACAGATAAACAGAAACTGAGTGTGAGAATTGGGAAATACAAGGAAATGCAGTAAAGCCAGGGAATTTACAGTAACATTTCCTTTTCCATCATTAAAAAATTATTCAGCCATTGGTGAGGTTAATGCACTAATCATGGATTACGTTATTTTGAACATGTTATTGTGATGATTCTGAAATTAACTGTATTGGTGTAAGATTTGTCATTATGTGTATAAATGTTATTCTGAATTTTTGACCTTAGTTATCATTAATGTAGTTTCTGATTAAACGTGATAATCTAATACCTGTGAAAACTGACTAATCAGCTGCCAGTGATATGTAATGTTTTTCATTTTGCATGAATTAATAATCATCATACTCTAGAATCTTGTCTGTTATTCACTACATGAATAAGCAAATATTCTGTCTTCAAAAGAATGCACAAGAACCACAATTTAGATGTCATATTATTTTGAAAGTACAAAACATACTAAAAGAGTGTGTATTCATGCACAGTTATTCACTTCCATTTTTATGATCTTTCAACTATAGATAATTCTTAGATAAATTAATATTAGAATTTCTATTATGAATCATGTTAAAGCATGACATCCTTTCACAATAGCACTATTTTAAATAAATTATAAGCTTTAAGGTACGAAATATTTAATAGATCTAATCAAATATGTTGTTGATTCATGAGTATAATAAAGCAGGAGCAATTATAAAATCTTCAATCAATTGAACTGTTACAAAACCACTTGAAAATTTCATGAGCACTTTAAGTCTAAAATCTGAACTTTCAAAGCTTGCTATTAAATCATTTAGAATGTTTACATTTACTAAGGTGTGCTGGGTCATGTCTTTGTTGACACTAATATTTTCATAGAAATTAGGCTGGAGAAAGAAGGAAAAAAAGGTTTTCTTAAATACATACAAAAAAGTTACTGTGGTATCTATGAGTTATCATCTTAGCTGTGTTAAAAAATGAATTTGTACTATGGCAGAAATGGTATGGATAGTAAAATTTTAAGCACTAAAAATTTTTTCATAACCTTTCATAATAAAGTTTAATAGGTTTATTAACTGAATTTCATGAGTTTTTTAAAAGTGTTTTTGGGTTGTGTATATATACATATACAGATACAACATTTACAATAAATAAAATACTTGAAATTCTCTGTGTCTTCTAGTAGCTTCCTACTCAACTATTTATAATCTTATTAAAAAGTTGTAATTTTAGATAACAAGCCTAGTCAAACTTTTATAGATATTATCTCACTCATTTTTCAGACTTTTGCCAAAGTGTGCACAATGACTTTTTGTTATTAAAGAAAAACAGATTAGTTTTAAGAAGGCAAAAATTTCCGCTCTCTGAAAACAGCATGTTATATGATGTTATATGAACGATCAGGTGTAGATCAGGTGTACATACTAAACATTGTGAGCAATCTCAAATGAAGGCCCATCATTTCATTGTAAATCTCTGAATGAATATAAGACTCAAGTGTTCGTCCCTTTCATGTAGCCTCAGTTTTTGCAATTGTAATGCTTATCACTGAAATTTTACAGTTGGTAATGTATTAACTATGTAACCTAACACTTTTCTTGGAATTAGATAGTTCCTTGGATCTTTGACTAGAAAGTTTTTAAAAAGAGTGTTGGATCTGGACTTCTTTTACTTCGATATATTTTAAAATATACTTTATGTGTTTTACTTTCTTGGTCATGGATGCCACTTCAAAATTTGAGAATAGTAAAGGACATCCTTTCTATCATCAAAAAGAATAAATAAGGATAAACTATATGCAAGTTTGACCTCTCTGTTTGACTCCAATGTGTCAAACTGACCTTGTTCAGAGTATTGCATTCTTCTATCAAGCCTGTGTCAGTAACCATAGAGTTAAGCACAATTTGATTTAATAAAATCTGATTTTCTAGACCTAAATCAGATTTTATTAAATTTCATGAATGTTTACCAAAACCCTACCATTTTTTTCAGGCCCTGTGATATCTAAGTTCTGGATAGGATATGTTTCCTGACTTAGACGTCATCCTCTGTTATGAAGAGAGCCATACACGCAAGTAAGAATAATACAAAATCAGTCCTATTAAAGATACAAACCGGGAAGATTGAGGAGTGAGAAAGAACAAAATATAAGAACCAGAAATTCATTCCGAATACTTATCACTAATTGATGAGTTGAAGCATTTACTGTATTGTTAGAAAGCTAGGTGAAATTAGCTGTGGCTCAGCAGCTGCCTAAAAGCAGTCTTAACTAGCATTGGCTGTTCCTATTGAGATAAAAGCTCAGTGTATTTTTTTGTTGCCATGTGTATGTGCGTGCACGCATGTGTATGCGTTTGTTTTTCTGAGATGAAGTTTTGCTTTTGTTACCCAGGCTGGAGTGGCACAATCTTGGCTCACTGCAACCTCCACTTCCTGGGTTCAAGCGATTCCCTGCCTCAGCCTCCCCAAGTAGCTGGGATTACAGGCACCTACCAACATGCCCAGCTAATTTTTGTATTTTTTAGTAGAGAATGGGGTTTCACCATGTTGACCAGGCTGGTTTTGAACTCCTGACCTCAGGTGATCCACCCACCTCGGCCTCGGTAAGTGCTAGGATTACAGGTGTGAGCCATTGCGCTGGGCCTGTTGCCTTGTTTTTGTTCATGCTATTAAGTTCAGGCATAGATTGCCCTGTTGAAATTGCATGCATCCATAAAATCACGTTGGTGATTCCTCAAAGACCTAGAGGCAGAAATAGCATTTGACCCAGCAGTCTTGTTACTGGGTATATACCCAAAGGAATATGAATTAGTCTGTTACAAAGACAGATGCACACACATGCTTACTGCAGCACTATTCACAATAGCAAAGACATGGAATCAACCTAAGCACCCATCGACAATAGACTGGATAAAGAAAATGTGATATATCTATACCATGGAATACTATGCAGCCATAAAATGGAACAAGATATGTATTTTCCTTTCCCTTGGGTAGATGTGTCCTTATGGTAGAATAATTCATATTATCTTGGGTATATACTCAGTAATGGGATTGGTGGGTCAAATGGGAGTGCTGTTTCAGGTTCCTTGAGAAATCACACTGCTTTTCATATCTCACTTTAAATGTGTTAATTCCCCAAGTGAGATTTTTCTCTGTTCCCATGAGGCCTTTTAGTTTATGTGTTGGCCTATTATGTAGTATGAGAAATGAATCCATTGTTTGGGATTTGAAAAGAATGAAATGCTGGGCCAGGTGTGGTGGCTCAAGCCTGTAATCCCAGCACTTTGGGAGGCCGAGGCGGGTGGATCACGAGGTCAAGAGATCGAGACCATCCTGGTCAACATGGTGAAACCCTGTCTCTACTAAAAAAAAATACGAAAATTAGCTGGGCATGGTGGCACGTGCCTGTAATCCCAGCTACTCAGGAGGCTGAGGCAGGAGAATTGCCTGAACCCAGGAGGTGGAGGTTGCGGTGAGCTGAGATCGCGCCATTGCACTCCAGCCTGGGTAACAAAAGCGAAACAAGAATGAAATGCTAATGTATATAGATGGAGACCTGGGATGGGGCTGGGAAGGAGGAGGCATTGCAGTTCCAGGGAATAAAGCAGTGTTTAGGAAAGTTACCCAAAGTCAGAGCTGCCAAAGCACTGGCGATAGGAGAAATTAGGTGGCAGGTTCTGGTCTGAGTTCAGAAAAATTTACTATGCTGAGACATTTGGCTAGAATTTTCTACTGGGATGTAAGTACTGTAATTGTGGGCAAGAATCTTCTTTCACTCATGAAATGAGTACTTACTGCGCTGAGAAGTTTCTGAACAATAGAAAGACATCACATGAGTTTTAGCCAACGGCCTGCGGAGAACGAGGATGGGGGGAAAAGCCTGGTTATGAAGTTTATTTGCGTAGCGTTAGTGGGAAAAAAAATGCAGCTGGCGCTCTTCAAAATTAGGAAGAGCTGACGTTTCATATTGAAAAACGACTCACTTTTCCATTCTTTGGGATATTCACACATGTGGCTAAATAGATTTGAAAAAAATATTAGAAACAGCTTTGGTAAATATGAATATATATTTGGGTGTGTATATAGATTTTAATTCGGAAAGTATCACATACTCGCTTTCGCAAGGACCTACGAAGCCCAGCAGGGTGGCAGATGCCTGAAATCCTAGCTACTTAGGAAGTTGATGAGGGTGAATCCAGCAGTTCGAGACCAGCCTGGGCAACATAGTGAGCACCTCCCCCGCCTCAAAAACAAAAAGCACCCGGGAAATGTCTGGGGCAGAAGAGCACACGCTGTCAGTTCTTGAGGTCCATCAACGCAAAGCGAAAAATTAGTGGAAGACGACGAGCGCGAGCGCGATCGCGACCGAGGGCGCTGGGTGGTCAGATGGCTCCAGCAACCACGCGTCTGGGGCGCGCTGCGAAGGAAGCGGGATTTTTTAGTCTCGGCGCTAAACACGGAGTGTTCTGGGCGCTAAACACAGAGAGCACCCGGGTTCCCGGGCCTCCCGAGAACGCTGCTCCATGAACGCGCTGTGAACGGCCCCCGGCGTCCGCGCGTCCCCGCGTCTCCGGTAACTCCCGGTAACTCCCCGTAACTTCCGGCATCCCAACGGCCTCCAGTTGGTAGTCCCGAAGCTGCACCATGTTCCGCCTCTGGTTGCTGCTGGCAGTGCTTTGCTGCCTCCTGGCGTCAAGACCCGGTGAGCCAGCCTAGACCCTGACACTGGTCCCGGTGCTCACACTGCGGCCCAACTCCCTGTAAAGCCCCCGGGACCCTCCCTGCCTGGGTCCCTTTGGCCCTGTTATCCTGGCAACCGGGCCTTTTCCAGGAGAGTGGGCGCCCCGTCCGGAAGGCGAAGACTCAGGGCCCTGCGCCAGGGCTCGCGCCTGTAATCCCGGGGCTTTGGGAGATCGAGGAGAGCAGGCAGTTTGACCTTGGAGTTGGACACTGGCTTGGGCAACACAGCGAGACCCCATCTCTACAAAAAAGTTTTAAAAAATGCTTCGAGGTGGTGGCGCGCACCTGTGATCCCAGCTACCTGGGAGGCTGAGGGAGGAGGACCACGTGAGTCTGGGAGGTGGAGACTGAAGTGAGCCGAGATTGCACCCATTGGGCTCCAGCCTGGGCAAGAGAGATCCTAATTATTTAAAAATTAAAAAAAAAATTGTGACTGAGTCCCTGCTGTCGCCCGGGCTGGAGTGCAGTGGGCCACAGAGGGAGACTCCAGCTCATAGTTCTCCAGAACTATGAGGAAAATAACTTTCTGTTGTTTAAGCAATGCAGTCTATGCTATTGTGTTATGGCAGTAGGATCTGACTAATGTGTTAATTAACAGCAAAATGATTGAAAAACTATAAAAGTTCATTAGTAAGAGAACTGCTAAATAAACTGTAGTTACCTCCAAACAATGCAAATGGACCACTGTGGAGAGGCAGGAAGTGACACGATTCCCGCTGACAAGGATCAGAATAGTATGTAAAAAGAGAAGGAAAATAAGGGCATATCCAGACATTTTACTTGCATGTACACCTCCCCTGTGATACTGTACGTTTTTGACAACTCTTCCTACTCTCCTTCCTATCCTGCTATAATTCAGCTGCCTTCTCCCTGTGTACTCACAGGACCTTTTCTTTTTCTTTTTTTTTTGAGACGGAGTTTCACTCTTGTTACCCAGGCTGGAGTGCAATGGCGCGATCTCGGCTCACCGCAACCTCCGCCTCCTGGGTTCAGGCAATTCTCCTGCCTTAGCCTCCTGAGTAGCTGGGATTACAGGCACGCGCCACCATGCCCAGCTAATTTTTTGTATTTTTTTAGTAGAGACAGGGTTTCACCATGTTGACCAGGATGGTCTTGATCTACTGGTCGTGATCCACCCGCCTCGGCCTCCCAAAGTGCTGGGATTACAGGCTTGAGCCACTGCGCCTGGCCTCACAGGACCTTTTCTTTGTGTACAGGGAAAGAGACAGCAGGAACAAATTCTCTGATGTCCCATAAGGGCATGAATCCCATCCTGAGGATCCCACTGTATGCTTTCATCTAACCTTGATTACCTCCCAAAGGCGGTAACCAAATACTGTCATACTGGGGCTTAGGGAGCCAACACAGAATTTTGTGGGATACATTCAGTTCCTAACACATACAAAATTTGAATGCAGTGGTTCTCAAAGTTTTTGGGTTCAGAACTCCTTTATACATTAACAATTATTGAGATTCTAAGAGCTTTTATGTGGATTTATATCAATGTTTAACATATTAGAAATTAAAATAGAAATGTAAGAATGTGTGTTTTATTCATTAAAAGTAATGGCCATGTGCGATGACTCGCACCTGTAATCCCAGCACTTTGGGAGGCTGATGTGGGTGGATCAACTGAGGTCAGGAGTTCAAGATCAGCTGGCCAACATGATGAAACCCCATCTCTACTAAAAATACAAAAAAATTAGCCAGGTGTGGTAGTGCACGCCTGTAATCCCAGCTACTCAGGAGGCTGAGGTAGGAGAATTGCTTAAACCCAGAAGGTGGAGGCTGCAGTGAACTGAGGTTGTGCCATTGGACTCCAGCGGGGTGACAGAGGGAGACTGTGTCTCAAAGAGAAAAAAAGTAATATGCCTTTTATATGTTAACGTAAGTATCACATTTTTAAAATAAAAATATATTTTCCAAACAAAAAATATGAGAAGAGCAACATTTTTGTGAATCTCTTTAATGTCTCCTTTAATAGAAGACAGCTACTTCTAATTTCTGGTTCTGCAATCTCTTGCTATATATTTCATGTGAAGTATCTGAAGAAAATCTAGCCTATGTAGTTGGAAAAGGACAAGAAAGAAATAATTTTACCTTTTTTTTCAGATAATTAAAGGTATTCCTTGTATATTACCTAAAACTTGACCAATGGTAAAGTTTAGTTGCAATGTAGAACATATCAATGAACTTTTCTTAACATGCTGTATTAAAATTCATTATCTATCTTGAACTCTGGTATGTTATCCATGTATTTTTAAATGTATTATTTTTTATTTTAAATTGTTGTAAAATACACATAAAATTTACCATCTAACCATTTAAAAAATATTAATAGGGCCTGGCACAGTGGCTCACGATCCCGGCACTTTGGGAGGCTGAGGTGGGTGAATCACCTGAGGTTAGGAGTTTGAGACCAGCCTGGCCAACGTGGTGAAAACCTGTCTCTACTAAAAATACAAAAATTACAGATGTGGTGGCATGTGCCTGTAATCCACTCAGGAAGCTGAGGCTGGAGAATCGCTTGAACCCAGGAGGCAGAGGTTACAGTGAGCCAAGATGGCACCATCGCACTCCAGCCTGGGTGACAAGAGCAAAACTCCATCTTAAAAAATAAAATAAAATAAAAAATAAAGAATATTAATGAACTTTGTTTTTTAGAGCACTTTTAGGTTCATAACAAAATTGAGTTGAAAGAGTTTCCATATAGTCCCTGTTCCCAAATATATACAACCTTTTCTACTATCAACATCTGGCACCATGACATACACTTGTTGCAGTTGATGAGCCTACACTGACACATTGCTATCATTCAAAGTCCACAGTTTGCATTAGGGTTCATTCTCCATGTTGTAGATTCTATGGTTTTGAAAAATGTACAATGACATGCATCTACCACTGCCCTAAAAATCCTGTGTGTTCTGCTTATTTATCCCTCCCTCCCCATTGCCCCTGGCAATGATTTCTCTCTTTAGTCTTCATAGTTTGGCCTTTTCCAGAATATCACGTATTTGAATTCATAGAATACGTAGCCATTTTAGATAGACTTTTTAAACTTAATAATATGCATTTAAGGTTCTCCCATGCTTTTTCATGGCTTGATAGCTGATTTGTTTATTTATTGAGATGGAGTCTCACTGTGTCGCCCAGGCTGGAGTGCAGTGGCAGGATCTTGGCTCACTTGCCACCTCCCAGGTTCAAGCAATTCTCCTGTCTCAGCCTCCCAAATAGCTGGGATTACAGATGCCTCCTATCATGCGCAGCTAATTTTTTTTTCTTATTTTTAGTAGAGATGGGGTTTCACTATGTTTACAAGGCTGGTTTTGACTCCTGACTTCAAGTGATCTGCCTGCCTTGCCTCCCAAAGTGCTAGAATTACAGGCATGAGCCACTGCACCTGATCACGTATTTATTTTTAGTGCTGAATAATATTCAATTGTCCGGACCTACCACAGTGTATTTATCCACTTACCTACTAAATGACTAAATGCTTCTAAATTTTGGCAATTATGAATAAAGCTGCTATAAACATCTCTGTGCAGGTTTTTGTGTGGACATAAGTTTTCAACTCATTTGGGTAAATACTAAGAGATGCTATTGTTGGATCATATGTTAAGAGAATATTTAGTTTTTAAAGAAACTGCCAAACTGTCTTTCAAAGTGGCTGTACCATATGCATTCCCCCAGCAAAGAACGAGAGAACTTCTGTTATTAATGTTGTCAAATTATAATTATATGCATAACTACAAGTGCAAGAAATTCTGGCTGTCTTTTTTTTATTACAACTCAGAAGAGAGGATTTAAACTTTCGAATGAAAATACCAGCACCAAACTGCTGATGGTACCGTCAGCTGAGGGACCTTGCTCAGCAATTTGGGGATGGCATTTTCACATTAAGCAATCACTCCTCATGTCCTCCTCCTTCCAGCCCCTGAAGCCACTGATTGCTTTGGATTTACCTGGCAGCCACCATCACTTTGGATTTACCTACTCTGGGTATTTCATATAAATGGAATCATACAAAATATGACCTTTTTTGTCTGGTTTATTTCACTTGCATAATGTTTTCAAGATTCATCTCTATTGCAGAATGCATTAGAACTTTATTCCTTTTTATGATGAATAATATTTCACTGTATATATTCACCCCAGTTTGTTTATCCATTCATCAGTTGATGGACATTTGGTTGTTTCTAACGTTCGGTTGTCAGGAATATCACTGCTAGGAACATTCATGTACCAGTTTTTGTGTGTACATATGTTTTCATTTCTCTTGGATATGAAATGAAATCATTTCTCTTGGATATTAAAAAGGAAACTGTTAGGCCCAATGGTACAGGTATATCTGTAGCAGGAGCGGTGGAACAAACGTCTCGAACACTGAACTGAGGAAGGAAGTGGCTTTTTATTCAGCTGGGAGCTGCAGGGGACTACAGCCTCATTTACCGAGCTCCCCGAGCTGCAGTTTATCTCCCCTTTTACAGGCTTATAATGCTAAAGGGGAAACTGAGGCAGAACTATGTCATACAATCTTTTGGCTTCACTGATTTGTTAATTCATATTGCAGCGAGAGAGGGGACCAGCAAGTGAGGGGGGGCTTACAGATACAAGACAGAAGCTGTTTATTGACAGAGGTATTTCCAGGAGGGAGCCTGGTCTGTGGATACATGGGGTCATGAACCAGTGTCAGGCTCCAGCTGGCAGAGATAGCATTCATTTACAGCTCTTTCAAGGTTAACAGATAGCAGAGATTCTGGGAACTAAAGAGGGAGTCATTTTCTCAGCTCTCTGATACTTTATTTCATTTTTTTTCCTTTTTCACTCTCCTTCCCAGCTGGAAGTTAGGGGGGAAGAGGTGAAATTGAAGGAGGTGAGGGAGTCTCCCCTCTCATGTCCATTTCCTCTTCTGGACTTTATTGTCCCTCAATAATGAGTTGGTTATACTGGGTCTTTTACCTC